CTCGGAGGTTCTCATCCCCGGTCCCGTTTGTTCAACTTCCACTTGGATCAGCTCCGTCTCCTCCGTTTTCTTCCGGTACGAGCTGTTCTTCTGTCCCTCGCTGTGGGAGGACAGCAGACTCCGGCGGTCTTTACTGTTCCTCCTCTCACTGGGTTCACTGAGGTCCAGCAGGTCCAGTGTCGAAGACAGAACTGGGAAAAAAACAAACCCACGTCCACGTGTTAACCCTCAGCCGTCCAGGTCATCAGACAGACATTCATCAGTTCTTGAAACTCGACTCACTGTCACTGCATCAACTTTTTGTCCCTAAATGTGAAATCAAACACTGTAGTTTGACCTTTTTTAATAGTTGAAGAGTTCTGTTCGGCAACTGGACGTGATTTTCCAAACCTTTTTTAATCTTCCTCTGATAAATGTCTCTTTCTGTTTCTGTTTTGTTGCGGTGACTGAGAACCAGAATCCGACATAACTGTGAGCTGCAGCTCCAGGGCGACCGACTGAGATGATTTGTCGACAGAACAGTCAGTATAATCAGAACGTACGCTTGTCTTTTTTTGCGTGTGCTCTTTAAGTACAATAAGAAATCAAGAGAACCTCAGTCTGACTAAAGGTCTCAGCTTCTAAAAAAGGAACGCAAGCTGTTCATGAAAAGGCAAAGATGTCACAACAATTTCTGCCCCCGTCGTGTGAACAATTGTTCTGATTTTTCCAGTTAACCGTGCGTTTTTTTTCTCTCTGCTTAAAGGCAGCAAAAATAGAGAAATGGAAATTTTATACATTATAGTGAACAAGAGACAAAATCAGAGTCAGAGTCGACCAATCAGACAACGTTAAAAGGCTTTTGGATAAGAATTAATGCCTTTAAAGGATTCCTTTGATCAGTCAACAACTGAGTTTGAGTAAAGTGTAAAGATGAATGAGTTTTCATCCTCTGAGGCAGATCATGACGTCTCTCACTGTGTTTTTGAATCATGGCATATTGTTTTACATTAGAAAAATCCCATGGTGCATCACTGAACAAAAATGGCACAAAAAGTAGAGAAATATAATCTTCTGGTTTCAATGTTCCACAATCTGGGCCTGTTTAGTTGAACAGAGTGCAGATGTAGTAGCAGGAATTGAAGAAGAGAAGAGAGAACAATTGTTCTTGAATCAAATTAATATTAGTTTTAAATGAAATGTAATTGAATCATTTTCCACAGTTCAACAGATGATCTCTCACGGCCCACGAGCGGGCCGCAGTACAGAGGTTGAGAATCACTGATCTATCTGAGTAAATGTTTCTTTTTCTTTTTAACTGCAGGTTTAACCTGAAACCATAACAAAAAAAAAAAATTCACACCGACAGAAAAAGACGAGTTTGGACAAAAAACTGGGACAAAATGACAAAAGTGTCGTTCTGAGCGGAGGGGATGGGTGGTTAGGGGGGGGGTGGTGGGGGGGGGGGGGGGGGGGGTGTGTCGCTGCTCAGTGTAGGTCTCATGTTGATTAGCATTTTTAAGCCGGTAATTATCATTCATTATTGATTGGCTGTGCTTGCTAATTCCTGCTTAATGTTATTCAGCGCTGGAGGCCACGGCCGTCTGTCACAGCCGTCTGTCACGGCCGTCTGTCACAGAGTGGAAACAGATTGACAGACAGAAAGTGAAGCTGCTCCGCTGGGGAGGAAACAAGTTAACATTTAGACCAGTGTGTGGAGCCACGGCACAAATAAACCCCCGAGGTCGTCCTCCGGTTTCAGTTTATTTACCGTATGAAACACTGACAAAAGAAGAGGGAGTTTTAGTCGGAGGTGAGGGGTTCTCTTTGACTGTAGGGGGCAGTGCAGAAGCAGTGGTCTGGGTTTTTGTACTGGACTCATTTTTAGTTGGTAACAGGAGGAGTGTGACGTGAAGCTAAGCTCGAGGCTAATGGCTAATAAGCTAATAACTACTAAAGATGGAGACTCATGTCTGAGTCACCGTTGATGTTCAGTTTTTAAAGTTGTTGTTCTTCTCACTCCGACCTTTGAATTCAGTTTAGTCTTAGAGTGAAGTTATCAGTTTTAGCTACGACGTCACATTAACATTTTGACAAGAGAACGATGAAAACAAACACATCCAGAAGATTTGTACCAGTGAGGACGTCGGCAGCTCTGAGTCTGACACCAACGATTCTGTTAGGACTTTGTCAGTGACAGCAGGAGCAGCAGGAGGTTTTAGGGAGACAGAAGGTTTGAAGTTCTCCGTCCATCCTCTCCAGTGAGTCAGATCCGTCTGATGTGACACATGTCAGAGCACAGTCTGCTTCTCTGAATCAGAGTCTGAACCGTGGAGCGGCTCAGTCGAGTCCAAACACAAATGGTTGTGGCATCGAACTTAAGACATTTATAGGACGGAGTGGGACAGGAGACGGTGAGAACATTCTGACCTGTCTTTGTGTAAAGATCCAGATAACAACAGGTGTGGATTAGGAATGAAAAGCAGCGCGAGGAGGTGGACTAAAAAAGTCGAGCAGGTTTAGTCCTGCTCTGCTGCTCACACTGATTGTTGCTCTGATACGGAGCCAAACCAACGATCCAAAAACAGCAGACGTGAAATCTTAACCAAATACAGTGACATAAAAAAAAAGATTGGACGAAATGTAGAAAACAAACCACCCTAACAACGAAAGTAACTCCTTAAAATCCATGGTTTTCTCTAGTTCCCATTTAGGGTTTTTCTACGGCGTCAGTGGTAGCGTACCTGCGTACAGCGTCAGTGGTAGCGTAGCTGAGTACGGTGTCAGTGGTAGCGTACCTGTGTACAGCCGCCCCCCCTCTGCCCCCCCCCCACTCATATTCTGTGAAGTGTTCATATGTGACAGTTACTTCTTCCTGACCTGGTGACAGTGTGGAGCCCAGGAGGAAACCAACGTGTGAACGCTTCTTTGTCTCCACATGTTTCTCTACGACATCCAAACTGAGCGTCAGTGGTAGCGTACCTGTGTACAGCGTCAGTGGTGGCGTACCTGCGTACGGCGTCAGTGGTAGCGTACCTGGGTACAGCGTCAGTGGTAGCGTACCTGCTGTGTTGGAGGTCACAGGTCGTGGAACCCCATCACTCTTGGTCTCCAGGAGGAAATCGTCGATGGAAGGGCTGAGCAGTGGTCGGCTTTCCTGTTGCTCACTCACCAGCTGTAGGAACGAACACACCAGTCACTTAGTACTGTCTGAACAGAACCTCTGAAACAGTGGCCACTCCACTCTGCCCCCGGTGGCCAGTTAGAAATTAGGAAAAAAAGGCTCTAATACAGGTCAGAATTAAGATGAAGATGAAGAGCAGCAGAGCAGAGCTGCTAAACTAGTCTGGAACTTAGTTTACTAACAGTAAAATAACTGGTCAATTTGGACCTCTGCCCCCCCCCCTCAGCTGACTTTATATCAACATATTCTGTCTGTGGATGTTGTTATGATATGAATTGTTTTCCAGTTCATTCAGGTTCATGTCAAAGGACTGAAGTCCAGTCCCTCCAAAAACACCCTCCAGTTCCTGACCTCTATGACCTTTGACCTCTCTGACCTTGTCCATTTGCAGCTCTGCCAGTGCAGCTGCACAGTGTGTTAGGTCTGATTCATTACTGTAGACCAGAGCCTCAGTGAAGCAGGTGCTGCTGGTCAAACTCTGCCGACCCTGGGTCATAATTTCACGGTTTGTTCTGTTGAAAAGATCCGACGTCTGCTGAACAACAGCACTGCAGGAAGTGTTTACAGGCTGGATTAGACTGACAGCGCTAAAAGTTGAATTAGAAGACACACACACACACACACACACACACACACAGTACATGTGAGTCGTCCTGGTACAGCACGTTCAGAGTCTGCTGACCAGCTACGCTGTGTCTGGTGTCGTCTTTCATGACCATGGGAAGGTCAGGGGTGGGTGTAGGTGTAGGTGGGGCTGAGGCCGGGGGCGGGGGCTGCAGTGGTTCCTCTCTAACAGCTCTCATGGATCAAAGCCTATCCTTTTATGCTGGTTCAGACGTGCTGCTGGTCCAGCATCATAACATACAGTACCATAGTACTTGGTATTACAGTACTAGTATATATTTATTAAACGTCATAGAAATGTTCGTCTGTGGCTCTGTGACAGCCTGGGGAACTGTCCGTGGTGCTGACCTCCCTCCCTCTTCTCCTCTGACCAAACCTCGTCGGTAGAAAACCAGTGACTGTTGAATGTCATGTTCATTTTCATTTGATTCATTCTTATGTTTTTTTTTCCCCCAAACTGAATCTGGGTCAGAAAACTGTAGAGCAATTAAAACCACGCTGTAAGGACGTGAGGTACAGTAGGTGGCGTTGGTGAGTAATGTCCTGTGGTTACAATTCTTTTGAATTACTGCAGTAAAGTCTACACAGTAGTATCTCAGTAGTATCTCAGTAGTATCGCAGTAGTATCTGCTTTACCTTGGAGGGAAGTCAAAACTGTTTTTTTTTGTTATATTATTGTTCAAATCAGGAAGTTTGCAGCCTCATTTCTTCCATTTGAACCAGTTTCTTTCAGTAGTTTCTGTCTTGTTGTCTGAGAGTTAAATAATACTTTAATAAAGTCTGTGAGACACAAACTAATGTTTGGAAACACATAAATAATCAGTGGAGAAAACTGCTGAAGCAGCTGAGGGTAATTTGGGTCAGGGCTTTTTTTGGTGTTTTGGTGCCGGCAAAGTTTCAGAGGGAAGTAACCTGAATTCCGTATTCCCCCCTGTGCTGCTGCTGCTGCTGCTGCTGCTGCTGCTGCAGCTGCTGCTGCCAGGCCATGTACCCTCAGCGAGTGCTCTGTGGTCGAGCTGTTTTTAAAGGTCACAGTTAGTGAGTGATTAATGGACTCGTTCAGGGAGAAAACAATGGAGTCTGACAGATACAGTGGTCATGAAAATAGTTCAGCTTCATTTCATTAGGGTTTCATCACACACACGTCCTCTCTGTTAATATCTAACATGTCTGATTTGAGCGTCTGTGCAGCTTTAGTCGTCTGAACGTCTGCTGCAAAGACTGGAGGAGGAGAGACGAGGAAATGTTCTCCTCGTTCCTGACCTTCATGACCTGAACGTCTGCCTCCCACTGTGGGGATCCACTGTGGGGATCCACTGTGGGCCACTGTGGGGCACTGTGGGGATCCACTGTGGGGATCCACTGTGGGGATCCACTGTGGGGATCCACTGTGGGGATCCACTGTGGGGAGCGTCCACACCAGGCATTACTAACAATACTATTAAAACTTAAGCTGGAGTTTGTTATTAAAGAATAAGAAACAAAAACATATTCTGTACTTGTGACCTTCAGGTCAAGAGAAAAATATCAACACAACAGACTCTTGAATAATGCAAATGTCTTTTTTTTTCAAACTAAGGAAAACCATAAAGAATCACCATCAGAAACTTTAGAGAAGTTTGAAAAGTCACTTTGCCCACAGCTGAGAACAGCAGGTCACTGAGAGCATCACGTCATGAACGTCATGAACAGGAACACGACCAGTGGCAGAGTTTGTCTGTGACCGTGTGGGACGTGTTGCCTGACAGGGATGGTTTACTCCTAATAACAAAAACACTGCCTCGGGTTTGAAGGTTGAGTCCAAAAACAGGTCGTCTGCAGCAGACGCTCAGTGATTACTGTAGACGCTCGCTCCTCTAACCACTTCCTGTGATTGCTGCCGGGGCCAATTTTAAATAATGGCTGCATAAAGGCAAGACCTCTGCATTTTCCTTTTCCAATCATCTGGAAAATGGGGACAGTAGAGTCGCAGCGTTCATCTGGGGAACAGAGCCAGGAACGTAAATGCCAATTATCCCTTGACTCTTAACCCAGGAGACGAGCGTCCTCAGCCTTCTGTCCATCACTCTCCCTGAGAAGACGCTGTTGTTTTGTCCTTTGCTCGTCTCCTGTTATACCTTTTTTTCCTTCTAGTTTGCAAAACACTTTTGTTTGGTATTTTGTTTACAAGTTGTTTAGCCGTAATCTAAGATAAAATGTAATGGAAACCTGCAGCTAATTGAGCCACTTGGGCTTCACTCCAAGTCGTGGCTGAGATGGAGCCGTCGAGGGAAACGGGCACACAGTGCTGTAAAAGGGAGGGCGGGGGGGGGGGGGGGGAAAAGCTG